TGATCAATATGGTGAAACCCCATCTCTACTAAAAATACAAAAAATTAGCTGGGTGTGGTGGCAGGTACCTGTAATCCCAGCTACTCAGGAAGCTGAGGCAGGAGAATTGCTTGAATCCAGGAGGCAGAGGTTGCAGTGAGCCAAGATCGAGCCACTGCACTCCAGCCTGGGCGTGACAGAGTGAGACTCCATCACACACACAAAAAATAGTGAAAACACCAAATGCCAGTGCAGATGAAACAAAAATCAGATCACTCATACATTGCTGGTAGCACTATAAAACGGTACAGCTGCTCCTGAAAACAGTTTGGTAGTTTCTTAAAAAACCAAACATGCAACTACTAAGACCTAGCAATTGCAAAACTCGGCATTTATCCTAGAGAAATGAAAAACCCATTCACAGAAAAACCTGTACATATGGCCGAGCACAGTGACTCACACCTGTAATCCCAGCACTTTGAGAGGCTAAGGCAGGCCAATCACCTGAGGTCAGGAGTTCAAGAACAGCCTGGTCAACATGGTAAAATCCCGTCTCTACTAAAAATACAAAAATTAGCCAGGCATGGTGGCACATGCCTGTAGTCCCAGCTACTCGGAAGGCTGAGGCAGTAGTATCGCTTAAACCTGGGAGGCGGAGGTTGCAGTGAGCTGAGATTGCATTCCAGCCTGGGTGACACAGCGAGACTCCATCTCAAAAAAAACAAAAAGAAAAGAAAACCTGTACATAAATGTTTATAGCAGCTTTCTTCATAGTAGTCAAAACCAGGAAAAAACCCAGATGTCCTTCAACAGATGAATGGTTAAACAAACTGTAGTATATCCACAGCATGGACGACTACCCAGCAATAAAAATAAACTACTGATACATGCAAAAACATGGACGGATCTCCCAGAAGTTATGCTGACTGAAAAAGCCAATCCCAGGGCTAATCATGGTGGCTCTTGCCTGTAATCCCAGCACTCTGGGAAGGTAAAACAGGAGGATCACTTGAGCCCAGGCATTGGAGACCAGCCTGAGCAATATAGCAAAACTCCATCTCTAAAAAAAGTTTAAAAAATTAGTTGGGTGTGGTGGCCTGTGCCTGTTATCTCAGCTACTTGGGAGGCTGAGAAGGGAGGATTGCTTGAGCCCAGGAGGTGCAGGTTACAGTAAGCATGACCTTGCTACTGCATTCCAGCCTGGGCAAGAGAGTGAGGCCCTGTCTCCAAGAAAGTCAATCCCAAAAGATTACATACCATATGATCCCATTTTATATAGTATTTTGAAATGATATTTTTACACATGAAGAATGGATGAATGGTTGCCAGGGGTTGGGATGCAAAAGAGGGAGGTAGATATGGCTATAAAAGGGCAAAGCAGGTCGGACACAGTGGCTTACACCCAGCCCTTTGGGAGGCCAAGGCAGGCACATCACCTGAGTTCAAGAGTTCAAGACCAAACTGACCAACATGGAGAATCCTCGTCTCCACTAAAAATACAGAAACTGGCCAGATGTGGTGGCACATGCCTGTAATCTCAGCTGCTCAGGAGGCTGAGACAGGAGAATTGCTCGATCTCAGGAGGCGGAGGTTGTGGTGAGCCGAGATCGAGCCATTGCATTCCAGCCTGGACAAGAGCAAGACTCCATCTCCAAAATAAAAGGGCAAGGCATCCTTTTGGTATTAGAACTGTATCCTGACTGTAGTGGTGCACACATGAACCTAGACAGGTGATAAAACTGTATAAAACTTAATACCCACATATTCACACATATGCACAAAAAGAAGTAAAACAGGAAATGTGAATAAATTTGATGGATTTGGCCAGGTGAAGTGGCTCACACCTGTAATCCAGCACTTTGGGAGGCCAAAGCAGGTGGATCACCAGGTCAGGAGTTCAAGATCAGTCTGACCAGTACAGTGAAACCCCATCTCTACCAAAAATACAAAAAATTAGCTGGGCATGGTGGTGTGTGCCTGTAATCCCAGCTGCTCGGAAGGCTGAGGCAGGAGAATTGCCTGAACCCGGGAGGCAGAGGTTGCAGTGAGCCGAGATCTCACCACTGCACTCCAACCTGGGTGACAGAGCAGGACTCTGTCTCAAAAAAAAAAAAAAAATTAGCCAGGAGTGGTGGTGGGCACCTGTAATCCTAGCTATTCAGGAGGCTGAGGCAAGAGAATCGCTTGAACTCGGGAGGCAGAGGTTGCAGTGAGCCAAGATCACACCATTGCATTCCAGCCTGGGCAACAACAGCAGGACTCTGTCTCAAAAAAAAAAGTGCCTTGAAGAGATTTCATTCTTTTGGAATCAACTCCAAATTCTTTCCAGCTTAATGGCCTTTGCACACACAGTTCATTCTGTCTGGAAAGCTCTTCCTTGCACACTGCACATTACTCCCCTACCCTTCAACTATGCCTAGCAAATTCATATTTATTGTTTAGACTACATTCCACAAAGAGGTGTTCCCTTATCCCTCATATTAGGTTTATGTATTTTTTTTTCCTCTTTGCAATGATTACAATTATAATTGAATAGCTACTGATGTAATGACTCATTTAACATCCGACTCTCCTATTATAAGCTCCACAATGGCAAAAGCCCCTTTAAAGCACATGCCATAGTGCCTGCACATTTATTCAACATGAAAAGTAGCATGAAACTTCTCAAACACCGTTGCTTTATTCACAATGAGGGATGTCCATACTTCCTGTTCCCACTGGCTCAAACCAGGATGCTGAGCTACAAATACACAGATAAGCCTGGCACATGTTCCTAAAGAGGTACCATAAACTTAAATGCCCACAGAAATCAAAGCAAGCTAACACAGATGAGTGAAGCAGCTGGGTGTAAGAACAAAAGCACAAGAACTATGATAAATGACAAAAGAACATCTGGTCTCAGTATCTAAGTATAATAATGAATTGTACTGACTATGGCAAATTACAGCACTAATGTTCAAAAAATTAGCTGAGGTTAATTAAGCAGAGGTTGATGACTACTCATAACCCCAGCCAAGTGTTGCTAGTAGAGACGAGAAATGCCAGAAGCTGGAAATCTAAGTTTTATGAGATATTTCCCCATTTTAAAATTCTGTCCATTAATTCAAACCTATTAACATTTTACCACCTACGTAGGCCAAAAAAAAAACCTTTTGTGCAGGCCCCAATAAGCCTATCAGTTTGCAGGTTGTTCTAAAGCTTTTATTTTACTTGATGATTTGTGAGAAAAAAAAATTATGTACAAACAAACACAGAATATAAAATAAAACACACCTTCAAAAAAGCTTTTCTTTTTAAAACAGGTCTCACTCTGTCACCTAGGCTGGAGTGCAGTGGCACAATCATGGCTCACTGCAGCCTCAATCTTCCAGGCTCAAGTGATCCTTCTATGTCAGCCTCCTGAATAGCGGGGCTATAGGCACACATCACCACGCCCTGCTAATTTTTTTGTGTTTTTTTTGAGACACAGTCTTGCTCTGTTGCCCAGGCTAGAGCACAGTGGAGTCATCTTGGCTCACTGCAATCTCTGCTTCTCAGGTTCAAGTGATTCTCCTGCCTCAGCCTCCTGAGTGGCTGGTATTACAGGCACCTGCCACCACACCCAGCTAATTTTTGTATTTTTAGTAGTGACAGAGTTCTGCCATATTGGCCAGACTGGTATTGAACTCCCGACCTCAGGTGATCTGCCCACCTCAGCCTCCCAAAGTGCTGGGATTACAGGTGTGAGCCACCGCGCCCAGTCCATTTTTTTCTTTTCTTTTTTTTTGTAGAGACAGGGTCTCATTTTACTGCCAGGCTGATCTCAAACTCCTGGGCTCAATGATCGTCTTGCCTGAGCCTCCTACAGTACTGGGATTACAGGCATGAGCCACTCCACCCAGCCAAAAACCATTTCTTTTTAAGAAAAAATTTAGTCTTTAACCATTTCAAGCTAACATTCTCCTCTCTAACCACCTCCCCTTTCTACTATGACACCCAAAAACTCCTAAAGTTCTCTGCATTCTCCTTGGACCTTAGAAGAATTGGGGCAGAAGACTGAGAAGCACTGACTAGTTAGAAAGAAACTGGAGGCATTCGAGTCACAAAGACCAGGTTCAAAGCCCAGCTCTGTCACTTACTAGCAATGTACTCTAGAGTACGTTATCTAATTTCTTCTATCAATTTTCCCCTCGATACCATGGAAATAATATAATGTCTTCACTGAACAGCTGCTTTAAGAATAGAATTAAATAAGATTATATTATATGTCAAACATCCAATATAGCCCAACACAGAGGATGAACTCAAAACATGGATACTATAAAGATATGCATAAGACATAGTAAAAGACGAATCTTGTTTAGGGTATGAATTAAACACTCTAGATCTAAAACTTCGATTTTGATGGGGTACTTCGATTGGTAGACAGAAAACATGCCTAATAGTTCTGATAATACTCCTAAATGCTCTTTTTTTTTCCCTGAGATGGAGTCTCGCTCTGTCACTCAGGCTGGAGTGCAATGGCACAATCTGAGCTCACTGCAATCTCCGCCTCCCAGTTTCAAGCGATTCTCCTGCCTCAGTCTCCTCCTGAATAGCTGGGATTACAGGTGTGTGCCATCATGACCGGCTAATTTTTGTATTTTTAGTAGAGATGCGGTTTTACCATGTAGGCCAGGCTGGTCTCAAACTCCAGACCTCAAGTGATCCACCTGCCTCGGCCTCTCAAAACGCTAGGATTATAGGCACAAGCCAACCTACCTGGCCCCTAAATACTTTTGAATGATTTTTTTTCTACTAACAGGAATGCTTATTTCACATGCACAAGACAGATAATGATTTGAATAATAAGGTGTAAAAATTATTATCTTTACAAAAGAGATTCCAACTATCGGTACTAACATAATACTAATACAATCCTCCAGTCCCATTTCCTAATCCACAAGAAAAAGATCAACCCTTTTATCCTTTGAATGAGGCAACAGGCACAGATAAAAGAACCAATCCGATAATACACTTAAACTCCTTCAAACACTGTATACCTGCTTGTCCTGTTTGGCTGAGGTAACTGCTCAATGACCTGACTGATAGAACCACATGTGTCCAAGTTAGAAGAATCCACAGGGTCTGAAAAAAACAAATGAGTATTAGCACAAAGCATATTTACCACCAAACTTTAATATAAAATCAAGAATACAGACAATACCAATCTAATCAGTGACACTAGCACATCAAATTTTGAGTGCCTACTATGCAGATACCACAGTAGGCTTCCTTACATACATTCGACACAATCAAATAACGTTTAAATCCACCCAGCTCCAACAAGAGCACCCAAAAAAATGCAAAGGGGACCAACAGTTTTAAACATCTCACCTGCAACCCTGTTTTCTTTCAAATGTTCATTGAACTCACTATTACTGTCTCCTCGTTCTTCTCCAGCTGTTTGTTCAGGATTGGACACAACATCCTAAAAAATACACATACAAAATATCCCCATTATATATGAAATAGTTCAAAATGAAACATCCTATTCGTCAACAATTTTTCCAATCAACTTTATTGAGAAGACAATGATCTTCTAAATACTTATGTTTGCTGGTTGTTCTAGGTTTAAAGAAAAAAAAAATCTGCTCAATCATTTTCAAACAAGACATCACTCACCAACACAGGATTTTCTTTGTGTGTCTGAAGATTAGGAAGGTGTCGAGATAGCATACTGAAGTGAGAACCAGAATCATCTTCTAGAACCTGGCTTTCAGGCTGAGAATCTTCAATTATCAGGCAAGGAGTATCTTGCTGAGAGAAATCTGAATCCAACTGACTTCCAGTAGGGTCCATCTGCTCCCCTGGAATGGAATAACAAAAGATCAGTTCCGTGTAACGGACTAGCTTTGCTCACGCAGTCTAAGCCTAAATAATGGGCGGAAGTACAAGAGCTGGGAAAGGGGATCAGTTCAGGACTCTTCCAATTAGAATATTTTATTTATAATTGCTGCAAGCACTTTCCTATTATGCCTACCAAGTAACCCATTCCTCGTTATTTACAATAAGCCTGCCTATCCCTCCCTCTTTTTCATCACCTTCTCGTAGACACCCTTTCCCCTCCTTCCTAACCTCTTTTTCTCCCCGCCCCTTTTTCCACCTCCCCCCGCCAACTCTCCCAACGTCCTTCTGGCGCCTCTACCGCCCCCCAAAAGACTGCTTTGTAGTATCTGTTCGCCAGAAGCCACACAGCCTTTCAGCTTTTCTGACGACCACCAAGCCTTCCTAGCTACCATTTCCCCACCCCCTCCTCAGGGCCCTCCAACCCCTTCCCCGTCACCGCCGCCATGCTTGCCACCCCGCCCCCTCCGGTCAGCCATCCTTTCAGACCCGAAATCCAGGCCTTCGGAGCCCACTGCACTCCCATTTCCCTCCGAACAGTACCAGGCATCCCGGCGGGAGGTCCCTCGCACTCGAGCAAGAGGTTTCTGCACGCTCCCCAAGTCCCTCCAGATCGATCCCCAGGTCGCCGCTGTGGCCACCGCCGCCACCGGCCGCGAACTCCCCCTTTCCCGGCGCGTCACACAATATCGGATCGTCCATTCGCTGCTACTGCCCGCCACTCAAGAAATCCTATGGATGATAGGCAGCTAAGGCAGAGTGCCCCGCCCCACGTAAGAAAAAGGAACACGGCGGCGCGTTTCCATGGCAGCATGGACGTTGCAGGCCCTCCCCTTAGCAGAGCCGGAGAATGACGGTATCATTGAACCGAAGGGACCTTGAGAGGGAGTGAAATACCTTCCCTTGCTTCTAGGACGATTGCATTTACCACTAAGACTTTTCAGAACCTCTACCTGCTTTTTCTCGTTCATGCCCCTTAATTCCCTTCCCTCATCCTCTTTGCTGGAAAAGGAGAGTTTCCCAGCTTTCTCATAACAGGGCAAAGAAGAAGCGACTTGAGGATGACTAGTACTTGAGAGCTGGTAAAACGGAGAGACTCTTTCTTCTTTAACACAGGGTTAACCTGTGTCAATCAGGACCCCTTTTATGGGCCTCTATTCTGAATTCAAGGGCCTGACATTATGTCTCTGCCAAGGTGTTTTTCGGTTTTGTTTGTTTTTACATTGTATCAGAGCTCCAGTAAGCCATATATCTTCCCATTGCCCTTTCCAGCCTAGAACGTATTTCAAGCGTCACATTTGTTTATCGTAGCTTTATCTTTTATGGGATTGCCTACAGAGACTACAGCCCCAGACATATTTTGCACCTCCCATTAAAAGAAATGAGCTGTCATTCTCAAACTCCGTGGTAAAGAGAACAGCTGCCACCCTTTCTGACCTCAAAGATACCTCCAAGCCCAGAGATTCTATTATCCTAATTATGGTGCCAGGGTCTTAAAGAGGGTGTGGCAGCTGTGACAAGTCTTAATGAACCAAGCCTCGTGAGGCATATGTGTTTAGGTTTTTATTTTTTTGTTGAGGGGTGGGCGTTTATTATTTAAGTGGCAGTTGGATCCAGGATAGAATTCTAGCCAGAGCAGCTGTCAATAGGGAAAGCACCTAGCACAATGCCAAGCATATACATAGTAGGCATTCAATAGAAGGCAGTTTTCTCTTTCTACTCCAAGTTGATTTATTTCAGCACAGCCCAACCATGATTCTCCTTTTCTGTAAATGCCCACCCAATTCAGCACTTGACATAGGCAAAGCTGAAGTGGAGCTTCCTACCAATCTTCTCATTGCTGCTATAAATTACAGTGATCATATTTTCCAAACCAAAATCAAGGCATGTTGTCTGAATACATGTTACTTATGGGAACAAAAGAACTGACTCCTTGAAACTGTCCTGAAAAATCTATAATCTATTACTGCCATAAATAGAACATAATTATGGTCCCCAGAATATTTTATTAGTGGAGCTAAAATTAAATGGACCACACAGAGACACATCTCACTTCTTAATCTTAAAATCATTTATAATTGACTCTTTTCATACTCTATTCCTAGAGTTACAGAAGAGCAGTGACTAAACAAACTTAATACTTAAAGGATCAGGTAAGAGCAATACTAACTACACTAGGTGGACAAAGTGAGTTCATCTGCTCTATTTGAGAGGGCACAACCAACCAGGTCCTGTTATGAGCAAATCATGACCTTGAGTCCCATAAAAATCCCCCAAAAGTCACCTTTTGTTTTTCTTCTCCAGCCTGCTTCTGCTTCCTCCCCAGGTGAGACACAAATAAACAGATATGTTTGATTACTTGACAAGTATGTTTGTCAAAACTCATAAAATGGTTGGGCTCAGGGGCTTACACCTGTAATCCCAGCACTTTGGGAGGCCAAGGCAGGTGGATTGCTTGAGCCCAGGAATTTAAGACCAGCCTGGGCAACATGGCAAAACCCTATTGCTACAAAAAATATGAAAAAAAATTAGCTGGGTATGGTAGCATGTTCCTGTAGTCTCAGCTCAGGAAGCTGAGATGGAAGGATCTCCTCAACTAGGAGGCAGAGGTTGCAATGAGCCAAGACTGCACCAATGCACTCCAGCCTGGGCAAGAGAGTGAGACCCTGTCTGAAACAAACAAACAATAACAACAATAAAAAAAAAAAAAACCTAAAAACCTCAACCTGAGTAAAAGTAAACAGATGAATAAATGAGCCGGATCCATTTGCATTATTAAACAAAGTAAGAGTCTTAAAAAAAAAACTGTTAGGAAAAACTGTTAATTCCTTGTTAGGCAGTGTTGCAATTAAATCAATCATTAGATAATCCTGAAAAACAGAAACTACAGGCAGAATGGTTACCCATGGAGGCTGTGACTGATTGCAGCTAGGTGAGCCAAAGGCCTTTATTGACCCCTAGTCTGCAAAGGACCAGCAGCACATCTTCTATCTACAAGTGCATCTTTATCTAAACCACCTTAGACAGACAAATCTAACTTACCTCTAAAGTCCTTCCAGAGAAGAAGACTCATCAAATCTGTTAACTCAATTTAAAGTTTAACAAACCTCATTGTCATAAATTTTTCTTAGCCTAATCTTCTAGTCTTCTAGCCTAAATCCTTTATTCTAGAATTTAAAGCCATTTCCTCTCATATTGTCTTTAACTGGTATCTTTAAAATCTGGATGGATGTCATTAAGTTGGGATCATCTCATTAGATCCTATAATTCTATAATCAATTTGAAACAAACAACAAATCTAAATGCAGGCCGGGCGCGGTGGCTCACGCCTATAATCCCAGCACTTTGGGAGGCCGAGGTGAGTGGATCACGAGGTCAAGATATCGAGACCATCCTGGTCAACAATGTGAAACCCCGTCTCTACTAAAAATACAAAAATTAGCTGGGCATGGTGGTGCGCGCCTGTAGTCCCAGCTACTCAGGAGGCTGAGACAGGAGAATTGCTTGAACCCAGGAGGCAGAGGTTGTGGTGAGCCGAGATCATGCCATTGCACTCCAGTCTGGGTAACAACTGCAAAAGTCCGTCTCAGAAAAAAAAAAAAATGCTATATGACTTAATTTCACTTTCTGAGTCTTTTTCTGAAGTCTCCTCAAAGACTTTTCTAAGCAAAGGAACCCTACCCAGCTCATTCTTCCCTCACAGGTATTATTCACAAATCTTTAAAGTTGCTTTATGGAAACTCATAGTTTTGGAGCTCAGTGGCAGAGTACTCTACTGAGGAGACTTGACAAGTGTCAACCATATTTAATGACAGGAAAACAATTAACTTGTTTTTTTTTTTTTTTTTTTTTTTTTTGTGGAAATGGAGTCTTACTCTGTCACCCAGGCTGGAGGGCAGTTGCTCCATCTCAACTTACTGCAACCTCTGCTTGCTGGCCCAAGCGAGTCTCCTGCGTCAGCCTCCCATATAGGTGCACACCACCATGCACTGCTAATTTTTTTGGTATTTTTAGTAGAGATGGCTTTTCACCATGTTGGCCAGGCTGGTCCCAAACGCCTGACCTCAAGTGATTCACCCACTTCAGCCTCCCAAAGTGCTGGATTACAGGGGTAAGCCACTGTGTCCAGCCACTTATATATTCCTTTTAAGCTATAATATTAAATAAAGTATTATATGCTGACTTACAGGTGACCTGTAATTGATTCCGATCCCTAACCTGCCTGTTGCACTTGGAGCTATTGCACTTGGATCTATACAATCATGTTCAGGTATATACCAATAATAAAACTAATTAACAACATATATTACATTTTTGCTATGTGGCAGGTACTGGGCTCTATTATATTCATTATCTCACCTGAAAGCCTCATAACTCTATAAAGGTTATACATGAGCAAACTAAGGTTTAGAGAGATGAAATAATTTGTACAACATCTCAGAGCTAAAAAAAAGCAGTGGAAATTTGAACTAGTCTGCATAACTGCAGAGGTTTTATATAACCATGATTGAAGAGAAGCAGTGACAAACTGTAAAACAGTTGAGACAAATCATCTTTGTTTTAGAATGTATTTTAATTTGAATTCTGAATATGGGTGTCCCTAATGTTCTGTGAATTCATAATAATTAAAATAATATGATGAAAACAGAGGAGAACCTGAGTTTCTACTCAGAGTTGTCAACTCTACAGCCTATAAAGAAGTCAACAAAGAGGTGATATAATTAAAATATGAAAGCCAAATTGTTTAAGGCAGTCAATAATTTCTTGTGATACTATATTAAACTCCTAACTGTAGGATGATACACGTGTAGATACTTGCAACCTTTGCAGTAGAAGCAATTCCTACTGTTGTATATCTTACCTTTCCAGAACTTCATTCTGTCAATTTGTGTAAGTAAACATTTTATTTTGAAAAAGTTCAAAGCAAAAGAAAAGTTGCAAGAAGAGTAAAATGAAAAAAAAT